TGACTTTCGTCGACTGTGAGGGAAGATCAGGAGCAGGACAGGTCACGTACGCACTCATGAGATTTGTATGTTACGAAAAGATAGCGAGCTTATATGTATTTTATTTTAGAATTTTGCGCGTTTTGTGTTTTCTCGTTTCTCAAGTAAGTTTGTTTCAGATTTCTAACAAGATAAATTTGTATATGATATGGGTAGATATTATACGTGGATAAATAACGAGTTATCATTAAATGTTATATTTGGACGGCAATTTAACTCTAATAAGAGTCTTTTATTGAAATTATTAACAGATTGATAATTTCAACTTATAGAAATAATAGATATCTAAATTAATAAAAACAGTAATAGGTATTGATTCTATCCTAAATTATACATAATTTCAAACAAAGTCTATTAAAATATTCAATCAGTCATTTTCTTGTGATATGCGAATCTCCTATCATCTTCCCTCATTTATATTAATATTTTAATCTGTCTCTAAAAAATATAATCGCTTTTGAGTAGTCAGGATCTGTAGACAAAGTATCTCTCTCATAGAACATCATGCGTCTTTCTTTCTCTCTCTCTCTTTCGTGTGGATTAGCACATTGTTGCCCCAGACTCTTCAATTGTTTGTCTTCCGGTATACACGCGCATTTCTTGAGCACCCTTATATCTCGCCGTCACCATTGTCGTGCAAACGTTACACGGCCGACACTGTTAAGAACGGCGACAGAAACGTGGAACGTTCACCCGCATACAAATTGATCCTTTTTGCTGGCGGGCTCGCGCGTCCTTAGCGGCACCTACGGCCGCGCGTCTCCCTCACAATCTGCCGAAAAACCGGCCTGGACACACGGGCTACAAGGGGGTTGTCGCGTTTTGTGGAAACAATCAGCAGGTTGTCGCGAAACAAGGATATGAATGCATAAGCAGCGCAGTTAACACGGTTGCATGCCGTGTTCACCGGCTCTCTTTTTGTTTTCGACCCTCCCTCAAAGGACGCCGCTTTTGTGCCCGAGTCCGACTCATGTGCGCGAGGAAACCGAGGGAATGAGGGTCGGAAAGACGAAGGACGAGGAACGTAGGTCCTCGCGACGATATATACGATCGATGTCGTCGCATGGCAAAATCCTTTTTCTCTTATTGTTTCTCGAACTCTTCGCCATCCACGATGCTCTGCATTAGTCGCTCCTCGGGAAGGACTTTCTCTGGCTTTGCAACGAAAAATTCCAGTCTTTTGTCCGATTAACAAGCTTTTCGTATCTTTTTTTAAATGCCCTTCTTTATATTGTTGATGATGCCTTATTATGGTTGCGCATGTGTGTGTGCCATGTACTATGCCATTTAAAATGTGAATTACTATAAAATAAATATAGGATTATGTCATTTAAGAAATCCAAATTGATGTCTTTTATGAATTTCAAAAATGATAAAATTTCTAGTTTTATACATATGTGTGACCTAAGAGCGCAAACATTTGAGTTTTTTAGAGAAAATTTAGTAAAAGCAATATTCACTAATTTTCCAAAAGCGTTAATTAAATAAATAAATAAAGATGGACCAAAATTTTTATGTGCAATTTACGGAATGCTCAATTATGAGCTTTTCGAGTAAGTGGCTAAGTTAGATAATTCTAGTTCAAGGTGTTTAAACTTAACGGATGCCCAGAAAAGATTTTTGTCGTTTTTTCCCATATTTTTAACAGTGGTTCTCACTAGTAGGAGCATGTCTCTCTACACGGAGAACCACGCCTCTTAATCTCCCCTTGTAGACGTTGATAAAAAGCCCGTGCGATCCGTGCATATACGCCAGTTTGCAAACAACAAACGCGAGAGTGCACGCGGCACGGCGCGGCGTGGCCGAGGCCTACGTCGTTTTCGCAGGGCACCTTCGACGTTTACTTCTTATCGGATCAGGTATGAGGGAAGGGTAGATTACGCAGGTACACGTTGAGAAAAGTTAACGAGGCCTAAGGCGGACACACCTCAGACGATCAGCGATTAGTCACTGAGAAGTATCGAGGAGAGCATACTGATCTGTTTGGTGCAACAGTGACAAATGCGTCTCGCTTATGAGAAACGAGAAACGCAAAAAGGCCTCCTTTCGTTGATACAGTTCATTAAATTGTGATTTTGTTTGAGAGTTTAACACAATGAAGCTCAGAATAATAAGTATACGTTTGTGCTGTCTGTGTAGGTAGTGCAAATAGTAAGAAATTTTATGTTATACATAGAATATGAAGAACATACATGCGATATGTATAAAGTAATTAAAAATGATCTTTATCTGGTGTCTCATAGACGATAAAAATACATTACAGTAGAAAACCGCGGATATTATTTATAAATAATGATCGGACACACACAATTGCCGGAGCTGATGCCGTTTTATTTCTTATCGCGACTGTAAATAATTATATTTCGTGGCTTTCTTAATCACGGTGAAATTTCAGCACTGAAGCAAGACGTGTCGCAAGTTGAAAAAGAGAGCTTCTTTTTTCCCCCCGCAATGTGAAAATATTAACGAGTTCTTATTATGCAAGTTACAGAGATTCGTGACACTTTGTTAGATTTTATCTAGTACTAAGAAAATGTTTGCTTACCATCATTATTCTCTTGTCGTTTTTTGAAATTATTTTTCCTACATTATGTAACAAGCAGATAAATAATAAATATTCTATTACAATACCATATATTGAGCAATCATTATTTCGACAATTACGAGAATAATAGAGTATATTTTCTACTTGGAAGAGTTATTATATTAATCTCTAATTATGAAAATATATACGTTAAGTTTAAGCTTGCTTGATTCTCCGCGCTTTATATATAGACTCGTAAAATCGCAGGACGCATAACAAGAAGATTTAAAATATATTTATGCTACGCGTACGCTTTGCGTCACACAGTCGCGATCACACAGAAATAGCTATAAAGATATGATTAAAGTTCCCTGAGACGAACGATAAAAATTTGCAAGTCTCGGCTATGCAATTAAGCGAAGTGTCGACGGCGCCCCAGTCCTTTGAGGTCGGGTTAATTCCGCCATTCGAACGGTATGTCTGGAACCGGTTCGCAGCTTCGTAATCCGCGTGTCTTCGTATTTCTGACCAGAAGTCACCAGTGCTATGTAAATCCTTACGAATTACAAATGTAACGTATCAGAAACATGTTCATTATTCTGTAAAAAAAAAAATTGTCTTGAAAATATTGAATTCATTAACTCTATAAATTTTTACGTATATATTATTGTTAGAATACAAACATGTATGTTTAAATCGATTTCCTCTCTTTTACGGGTTTGTATCGGTTTGTGGAAATGTGCAGATTTGCACACGCGATGTATTACGATCGCTGTTGTGATCCGAGCAGTACTCCGGAATCTCCCACGTCCTTCTCGTTGGCAGACAGCGTGGTACCGCAACGACCGAGGAGAATCGCGACGAGGAGGGCGGAGAGAACACACATAGCACTATCACGAGCGACACGATCGAGTGCCTCGTCGCCGATACCCGGCTGGTCGTCGGGTATCGATCGTAATTAATAGAGACGATCCGAAGAGACGACCTTAACGAGATCACGAGACACCCGCAATCAAACTGCCGCCACGCCGCGCCGCGCGGTTCGACGTCATTTGTTTAAGTTGATTCTCGCTTGTCGCATCCGAATAAGGCAACTCGTGTTCGCCACTCCGCGGGGAGTGCGAAAGAACAAAGAGGGAACGGAGAGTGAGTGCCGGGATGATCTCGCTGGATGAAATCGCGACGAAAGGGAGAGAACGGAGACGAGAGAAAAAAGAGGAGCGAACAGGCCGAGCAGACACCTGCTGTTAGCTGCATTGTCTTCCTCTCTTTTTCGATCTTCGCCCCTTCTTTCTTCGCCCCTTCATTCCCTCGTCTTTCTCTTCTTTCGTTTCTTCTTATTTCTCCCTTGCCATCTTCTAGCGCGATACACTCCGTTGAAGGTAGTCCATAAATGAGGCGATGACACAACACTACCGGTCTAGAAGACCGAGTGAATGTTTTTTTCATAGCTACACGCTTTTTTGAAATTAAGGGATGGAGATCGTATAAAAACCATTTGATGCCGGTACTGATTAAATTAACGAGAACCCGATTACATGATAAAAACACGAGGTTAAATTACAACGAATATTTTTTAATCCTTTGCTCATCATACAGAATGAATATTAATTTAATGCTTTTAATTAATTACAGAGGAACAATTTTCACGAGATTAATATCTAATCACTAACATTAATATACATTTTCTAAAAATAAAGTGGATAAATTTATCATAAGAATTACGATAACTGGAATTATACCTAAAATAAATTGACTTAAAATTAATAGTTTGTCCGAGAAGCGAACATATTTATGATTCTGTCGCGCTGTTCATCAGAGCGCAGTATACAACGTGTAATGTATATTATATGATATGATAGAGGATGCATAGCATTATTCAGGCGTATATAATGAATATCATTGCCAGGGTAGTTTAGAAACACGTGCTGCAAACACGCCAATCAGCGTAACTCATTTTAGTGGCTGATAGTTATTGATTTACACGCGTAACTCCTCAAACAATTCAGAGTGCTAATGAAAACAGAGCTTTCAACGCGGGATGATTTATACTGATTATCTTTTGCGTCGCATCTCGCTTAATATTCGCGTAAAAAAGTATAATCGCACTTTCACCGAGCATTTAATTTTAAATGCGACTATCTACATTTTTGTTATCTCAGGCATCTTGAACTTTTCTTTCGGATTAAAATATGCAACGCAGTAAGACTCAGGATACAGTTAACGCATGGTAAAAAGGAAAGTGAACAAAGCGTAGGTAAATGACTATTGTGGCATAATTTCTCCTTTTTTCCATGCAAAGAGAGAGAGACCAAGTACAAGAAATATGCTATATAGAAGATTAGAGAGTCGCGTTGATCAAACGCAAAGTGAGCAAATGCGATGCTCTTAACATCGTGCGCTACTTTTCCACTGATTGCCACTTTTCTCATTTCAGACACTCATGACAACTTTAATGCCAGACATGTGACATGCACGGTGAAGAAGGGAGAGCGATGGCAGCGGCGGAAACAGTTCTCCGAAGTTCCTCCGATCTTCTCCTTGTTCGTGAAAATCGACGAGCTCACGAAGCAGAAGAGGGAATCTTCACTCGGGTCACCTTGACAAGGCCTACGGGTTCGTGAAGGGCATGAAAGCTCATCATGTTCAACCACCGACACAGGCCACGAGCGCTGTTGACCTGCAACTTCTTCGGCGTGACATTCCTCTTGCTGATCGTCGCCGGTAGTTACGATGCGTTAATTCAACCGAGTTCTACAGATGTCAATTCAACCGAATTCGTCAAAGGGAAAAGTGAGTTTCACAGCTACTTCCATTTGGAGAAAGCAAGAGAGTGGGAGAGGGAGGAAGTTGCGAAAGCGGAATTACGATCAATTTGAAAATTATTTCCGACTAAATATTTGATCGTAATTCTTCGCTTTTATAATACTTTATAATAACAAAAAGTGGAATAAATATAGCAGTGCAATATTTTTTAATGATAAAATTAATGTATGCATTATAAATTTTTAAAAAATTTTCATCAATAGTTTTAATTATTTATATGACGATTATTGATTTTATTATTAGAAAATACTACAATATATGTTTATTCCACTTTTACAATTGTTTTAATTAGTTTAAATGCCTTATAATATAGGTATTATATTTCTTTATCTTATAATTATATTTATTTTCTCTTTTTTATAACTAAAAATGTTCACGTTTAGACAAGGTCTCGCTGGAATGTGAACATGTCGGTAATAAAAAAGAGACGGTAATCTTGCGAGCATCAGTGGATTTAGAGAGCATTGGGGAAGTAACATAATTTATTGGCGCATAAGAGAGCATATCGTTGCTGCGAGCCAACTTTTTAACTGGTACGAGCGTACTCCGTTCTTCCTAGCGGAGAACCCTTGGTCGTAGATCATCGGGACCGTCTAGAAAAGTAGAAAGCGAAGCGGTGCGCCGCGCCGGCTCGGTGTGGGCGTCGCTTGGCTGAAGAGTCCCTTTTACGTAGGACCTGGAAAGTACCGTTTCCTCTCTTATCTGAGGGAGAAGCTGGAAAAGGAGAGAATATGACGAAACTCTTAAAATCTTACCTCTTACCATTCGTCCCTGATCGAGAGCGTCTAGCGTCGCGCATGACCGTGTAAGTGCATCTACGACTGACGATTATGATAGTACGGTATATACGCGCTCTTGGACACGTGGGCCACAAGAGCTTGACCCATATAAAGTGCGGTGTTTACATCGGTGTTGATGACCGCCGCGCGTGATAGTCGCCAGTGCGTTTATCGTATTGATATATATCTATTATCAACTGTCACGACATGCGCTTCGAATGGACCACACGCGCGGTTTGCGGAAGTTGCGGTTCCGCAGGCTTCGATGACTCCTTGATAAGATTTATCAGATGTCAACATAAATTAAAGAGAATACCATGTGAGCCTAAAAGAGATTTTAAACAGGAATTGATTAAAATCCGAATGATGATTTAAATTGATATATTTTGCTGACGCTTTAACAGTCATATTTAATGTATTTTAAGATTATAATAGTTTTGTACAAACATAATTTCATATTTTTAATGTCTTGCCAATTTATAAATAATTAATGAAACAGTCAAATCAATATTACGATAAGTAGGTACTAATTAGAACTTTAAAAAACATCTTATATGTCTTTTAAAGTCCTAGTTAGTACTTATATTCACTAAAAATTATATATATGTATAGTAATAATTCAAAATTATCTCTATATAAATTATAAAATATAATTTTTTTTAACTTTATTCTTGAACGCAACAAACAGCTGCTCTTTTAGCATCGTATAAACAGGCAGGTGCTTATTCCAGACACAGAATTTTTTTGCTGGATCACCACTAAAGAGTGGAACGACATCGACTTCACCCTACATCACTTGATTTATTATATACACTTTATGACAATGCTAGCGTTTGGAACCGATCATCATCCGCCTCAATGATGTTTTACTGACCGATGAATAATAAATATACAAATCTTCTGCCAGATTTATAGTAGACAGTTTGAAAGCGCTTCAAATTTTATCAGAAAATATATGTGTTCAGCAGACCTATCCGAGTACTTTCGCATAACACTAATACTAACAATCTCTAAATGTTTAGATGGATGGTGAAATCGAATCTTGCAGCAAATTCTTCGAAAACTGCGCAACTTTTACGGACGGCTTTTAGGACCTAATTTGAATAGCGTTCCGAAGCGAATTGGTATGATCAGCGGAAAGATTGTTAAGATGTCTTTCCATTAGCACAATAACCGGAGCGTGGAGGTTGCGCATTATGCAGCTGAAAAGTGCGGTTTGTCTAGCGCGTTTGAACAGCCATCCAGAATTCGTTGCAGACACGAGGAGATACCACCTAAAGTGGCCTCCATAAAGGTTTCCATTATAATGATAAGCCCCGAGTCGATCTCTTTCTACCCATTAGGCGGGAGTAAAACCTCCGCCATGTGTTGCGCTCTACAGCCTCTATTTTGTTCGAAGAAAGAGGTAGAAAGGATGACGGATAAACAACACAAACCGAAAAG